TCTACCCAGGGAAGCAGTCACCAGAGCTCTCCTCTCCTCACACCCTTCCTGAGGAAACTCTGCTCCTGCAGGCATTCCTCATTCCTGGGACAAGGGCAATCCACCAAGCACCAGCCTGTAAATTCACTCGGTCCAAATCTCCCAAACTCCAATTTTCCTAGAAGTTCCAGGCTCTCTCTGCTCCTCAGGTATGTATTTCTCAGGCTTTACCTGGGAAAAAGATTTGAAAGCCCAAGGTTTTAACATTACAACTGATCAGGGAACAAGAAACGCTTGGATATGGAAGCTTCTCACTTCACTTAGAGAAAAAAACAAGTGCAGGTTCTTTTCTCACTGCACTGGCACTTTTATTCCTTGGCCATGACACACAGGAGAGCATCCGCTGCCTGCTCTCCCAAAGCCCTTTGAAGAATTAAGCTTAAGTTATGGATGGCAGCAGGCACCAGTGACAAATCAATTCTTGCCAGAGTTGGATTTGGGAGATCCTGCAGGTGATATTACCAGCTGGAATAAGGAACAGATACAGCTCTAAAGGACAGTTAGTTACAACTGGATGTATTATGAAGGGATTTAAACCTCCCTATTGCTCGAGGGAGGAAAACATGAGAGTGAAGGAAGTATTTGAGTGAGAATACACAGGATGAAAAGCAGAGTTGAAATGTAGGAGCTTCTCTGTAGACTGGCTGGAGTGCAAAGCAAAGATTCTTCCCTCTGTGCCCCCATCCCAGTTTCAATCATGGAGAGATGTATCTAAAAAGCCTGTGCATCTGATAATAACCAAGAAGTACAATTTTAGAAAGGAATTATTGAGTAAAGCTCAATAAGGCTACAAGAATTTTTAAAACATGAGAGCGATCTGCTAATCTGAAAAATAATGCACAGCCAGAGTTATCACTGGCATCAACACGACTGCCTGGTTCTTTTATTCTTACTATTCAACATCATTCTTTGTTTAATCATCATTCTCCGTTTAATTTATAGAAGCCAGCCCCAAAATTAAAACCTCCTAAAAAATTATGATAGCCCCACATTTTCCAAATAAAATAGGATTGTTTCATTTTGATTTGGTTTTGGAGCAATAAAATTGAAATACTTTATATACATCGTAAGAGAAAAAAACAGCTGAATTTTCAAAAGCACTTAAGTGATAGTAGAAATCTCACTGTCATTTTTAAAAGCAGCTTTAACAATCAGATCTCATTGAAAATTATGCACATTTTCATTGCAAATTTACTTTTGAGAATTTAGTGGCATGCTGCTTACTGAAAATGGCAGTGGGTGTGTCTGTATTTTTGAAGGTCTGCTTCTTAGGACCTTCAGCATTTATTATAAACTGTAGAGACTTCCACATCTAAATGCATTCATCCCTTTGGAGAGCAGGGCCCTTCCCAGTGTGCTGGTGGCATTTTGGAGCTGCAGACATTCCTCGGGGAGCGTGGCTCCAGGCACAGGTCACTCCTCTCCAGCTGTGCCCTCCTGACACGCTCTCCAAAAGGGCTCCAAGAACCCAGCCACAGTCCCAGCAGATAATCTGCTTTCTGCCTGTCCATTTTACCTCCTCTATCCATCTCTTTAGCCCTGGTAAATTCTGTTGGTTATAGATACAAATGTAAGCAGTGCCCAAAGTATTCTGTGTTTCAACTTCCTCCTCTTTGGATGTGGGATTTATGCCCTTTGTTCATACTCACCCTGAAGGCCTTCTGCAGACAAGCTGCATCTACTTTGAACTTAAATTTTATCATATATCTTCCAGAGGAACACTGTGAAAAATTACATTCATGGAACAAACAGATATAATTACTGGATTCCCATCAGCCAGTGATGTCTGCAGAATAATGAGTGATTTTACCAGACCTGGATCTGCCTGTACTGTGGAGCAGATTGTTTCTCTTCAAAAATGTATATCTGAACAAATGTAGCATTTACACTCCTGAATTGTTTGATTTACTGACTGAATCCTATTAACAGTATTGGTCCCTTTTTTCTTTTTTGTCCCAGTTTAAAATACAGTGTACTCAGTGAGGAAAAACTCTTCATTTTTCTTGTGATAATTACATTTCCCCTTCAGGCACCTCTGAGAACTCATCTTGAAACCTCTGGAACATCAGGAATGAACCAATTCCTACCTTTTATTGTCAACAATGCAAGCACCTCCCCACAGGGGGTGGGGCAGAGGTGCCCAAAAAGGCTCACAGAGATAATGTTGACTTAGGCTGTACCATTGATTAAGCAATTTGGCCAAGATCAGTAATTACAACTGTGCTAAACTGCACATAAATTCTGTAGAATTCCCATTTAATGGGAAACAAGGTGCAAAGTTGAAGGAATAAAAGCCAACACACTGAGCTTTCTTACCTAATGATTTCTAGTATGTCTACTGGTTAAAAAAATCAACCTTAACATGGAGTTGGGATGATGCAGACAGCCAGGATGGGACTGACAGAGGAGGAGCCCACCAGGAGCCTCCAGTGGAGAACCTGAATATCCCAATTCAGCAACCCATGAACACAAACTGCACAAATCCTACACCATCACAGAATTGTTTGGGTTCGAAAACACTTCTAAGGTTGAGTCCAACCATTAAGCCAGCACCTGTATTGCTGAGTGACAAGGTGACTAAACCATGTCCCTAAATGCCACATCTGCACATCCTTTAAATCCCTCCAGGGATGGGGACTCAACTACTTCCACTGCTAACAGGGATTGGTAGACAAGCTTCATTCAACTCACACAGAATCCAGTCCAAATCCAAATAAAAGCTCCCTGGAGCACTTCTGCCATCTCTTTAGAAGTGCAAAGGATTAAATTCTCAAAGCTTCATCTGACCACAAGCAGATTTCACCCCAACAGAAAGCTCCCAGCCCACACCTTCAAGCACATTAAGGTGATGTCTACTCCAGCACTATGATTGGCACCTCTGTGTCTCTTAAACAGTTTTTTTTCCTCCTAATTCCTTTACAGGACTGTTAGCAAACTCCCATACCACCTGAGCCTGATCTAAGGAGTAAACAACAAAAATTAAATTAATGTCATGCTCAGTAACATTTAGAAATTGCAAGCTTAGCAGCAGCCACTTACACCTAGTAACTCAAAGTATTTATTAAAGGAAGTTTTGAAATAACATATATTGATTTTGTCAGGTTTGGGTGTTTTTTGGTTGTTTTTTTTTTTCCTTTTACACAAGCAGCATATGTTGCACATGCTGTACTCATAGGCCTACACACACCCAGGTTTCATTGCACTCACTCTGACTCCTGCCAAACAGATGTTGAGGGAGAGCAACTGAACACAACATGGGATAAAAGCTGTCTCAGACCAAAATGCTGGGTTAGGAAAAACCTTGTGGGTAATGCAGTATGCTAAAAGCATTGATTATATATTCATATACAGAATTGATAGGTAGCTGAATTAATATTTGACTGCTTTAGTGAAATAATGTTATTAAATTAGAAAAAAACCCCAAACAAATATTAAGAATTATGTTACAGGATGGCAACTACCAAAGTTTTTTAAGTTTCAAAGTATTTATAGAATTCATTTTACCTAAAATCCAGATTCTCACTAGTATCCTGACAGCAACCTGAAATAATTTGACAAGTGATAAAGGGTTTGAAAAGGGATGATTTTAAACCACCCCTTGAAATAACAGAATGGCAAGTGATTCCCAGTCCCCAAGCACAAAGTACTGAAATATTATCCTGAGTCTGACAGACACGTCAGCAATTTCCTGTAATTTGAGTAATACCCAATCCTAGAGCTTAACTTACTGCAATACGTTGGTTGTGACGAAGACTAATGACAGAATTCAGTTCAATTTACTCTCTGAAAGACAAAGAAGTTATCTTTTTCCATTAAAAATCAACATGTTTCATAGTTTGCACCCTTTCCCATTATGAAAATAATTAGATTTGTATGAAGTAGAATCAATCCAGTACATGAAAACTGACATAAAACCCTTCATATTCCCTTTTTCTCTTGAATTTAGTAACAGTGTTGGCTCAAAACATGGTATTACCTACTAGAGATTTAAGGCTTGGCTTAGCAAATCTAATAAATGAGAAACATCCATGTGGTTACTTATGATGTACTTCTGATCTACTCAGTAACATCTCTTTGGGTGACCATGACAACAATGTTTTCTAACTTCAGGTATGGGAGTTCTGCTGCTTCTGAATTGATACTGGTCAAGAAATCTCCAATTTATTACCTTTAACATGAAAAAGGAACTTTGCATTCTGGAAGCCAAAAATAAACTCATGTACCCTTCCCATAACTTTCAAAACCTGTCAGAAAAACCTATTTTTTTCCACACTCACCGCTACAGAAAGGTGATTATACTCTGGTACAAACATGTTATATAGCCTGTCAAAGAAGTGAAAGGATTCCACATTGAAGAAATATTAAAATCAAACCCAGTCAAACCCAAGTATTTTACAAAAACTTACATTCTTAAAACAGGAATAAAAAATAAACAAATCACCATCTTTCAGAGTGCAAAGGTCAATTTTTGCATCCTAAACCCATAGTGAATAAAGATTTAATTTACCATATAGACGAAAAAAAAACAGAGTTCACTTTTGTGACAAAAATTAGATGGAGATTTCTTAAAGCACCAAATATTACAAAACATCATCTCAACCTTGCTTTTCAAAAGTGTTATTTGGCAGTCAGCTGGATCTAGGACAGCTGTTCTATTGTCTGTATTTAAATTCAATTTGAATTATCTGTGTTTTCCAATTCATTTACATTAAAGATAATACTAAATTTAGCAATAGAACATTATTAAAGCAAAACCTATTATGATTAGCACAAATTTGCATTATCAAAAAATGAATTTTGTAAATTCGCTTATGAACATCTCCCAAGTGTCACGATAAAACTGAACATAAAAAAAAAAAAAAGACAGGGTTTGTAAATAAGATTTCACATAAAGAAATCAAGTGAAGACTTCACAGTGGCACCTGAGAGCATTTAGACAAAAAATTTGCCAAGGTACTTACCTGTAAATCTGTTTAATATTTTCAGCTTTGATTTCCTTGAGAATTTTGTGGTAGATTTGAGGATTATTTGGTTCTTGAGATGATGGGGGAGAAGGGCATTTCTTGCGTGCATAATATCCTATGACAATTCCAAAAATAAATAAAATCAAAGCAGTGCAAAATACTTTCAGTATCCTGAAAAAGCTGCAGCGGTTGCTCTTTGGTGCCTGTCTGGTGTAGTGGGAGATGTAGTCAGGGTCTTCCTGGAGCCTCTGGAATCTTCCCTTTGGGGAAGAGGAGGGCTGGATGGGCTCCAGGTCGAGGTCAGGGCTCTGAGAGTTCCCCAGGTGGTGCTGGGCTGAGCTGTCCAGTCGGAAATGGTCAAATCCAGGCTCCTCCAGCTCCTTTTCCATGTCCCACTCCAGGTCCAATGCTGTGGCTTGGAGCTCATCGCTGTCGAGGTATGGAGAGTGCCCCTGTGCTCTCTGGTCTGCGTTCACTTTGTGGTAGGCCATCTTTTTATCTATTAAAACAAAATTTAAAACCTCAATGTTTGTTTCTATATGCACACATAAAACAATTTGTTTATTCTTTGTAAACCTGAGAGAACGAAACAGACAATAAAGCCCAAAAATTGGGTTCTCAGTATTTCACTGTCCCCATTTCCGCTGTCCTGTCTTCTGCAGGATCAGCAGTCCCATGAACATCATCATGGGAAATATATTGTAACAATATGAATAAAAGGAATTTAAAAGTGCCAATGGCAAACCACTGAAATTATCCAATTATTTTGTCAGTCCTCAAGATAATATTAAAAAATTGAGTGAAGGCTCAGAGTTTCCAAAACAATTATTTGTTACCTGAAAGTAATTTTAAAGCTTAACAACTGTGTGCAGCAATTTCATTTCACACACCATACAAAATAATGCTGCTAAAATAAAGTTGAAAAGCTGGAAATAATATGAGTTGCCTGATCTGATTCTAAACACAAGGAAATTATAAATTTAAAAAGAAACTTCAGGGTGACACTGTACTTACATATCAATAAAAGGCTTCCATTTAGATGGAGCATTCTATTATTTATAGGTATTTTAAATGCATAGTTCTGGAATGACTGATGAATTTACTTAGAAATTGTCCCAGCTGTTTTGCTCCACTTATTTTTCCCATTTTAATGAAACAAAAGCACTGCCAGGTAAGTATTTGTAACAAAATCATTCTTTTAATAGCAAGGCATAACTGTAGCACTTCTAGATATTTTTGTGGAAGTAGAAGCCCTCTACAGAGAACTCTGACCTCCAATACAAACACTCAAAGTCAATTTTCAACAAATCATTTTTGACAGATTGCAACAACAGGGTGCCTTTTCCCCCACACACTGACAATAGCCATTCCAACACATAAGCATCTGTAATTTAGGGCTTTTCAAACATCAGACTCACTTCTCAATTAGAATAAGATGAAAAATAAAGATATGAAACCTCTCATAGGGAGGAACACTAGACTGACACCTACAACACTACATTACCACTCCATTTTTACGTTTTAAGGCATTTTCACTCTCCGAGACTCGCCTCCAAATAACATTACCACATAAAGAGGAACCCACTGTAATGGCAAAGTGGAATTCAGCTTTTTGAAGCTCTCTGAAGAGAGCGAACCGCTTGCAAGCTCCAATATAATGAAACAGCCTATTGTCCCCTGAAAGGCTATCTGCCTCTATACAATACCAATTTACAGTGCCTATTTTCCCCCTACAGCCATATAAATATCCCTCACCTATAACTGTCAGCCAGCCTGGGAACAGCCAAGAGAGCACACACCTTCCAAACCATCATTCCAGTCCCTTTGCATATCAATTCTCCCTCTGCAGCCCCAACTCTTCCAGATGCACTGGGAGCACCAGAATTTAGAGTGAGCTGAATTAAAGCCTCTTAAATTAGTGTGAAAGCCCGCATTATTTATTTCAAGAACTACTGCAAATTTAGTCTTTTAATTCCAGCAGAGTCCAGAAATGGCTGTAAAGTCAAAGAGGTGCAAAGCTGCTGTGCTTGCCCTCTGTGGAGTTTGTTAGCCCAGCCCTCAGGTGTGTGAGGGATCCTCTGAACTTCAGCACCACAACGCCCAGGGCTGTGAATCACCTGGAGATCTCCCAAGGGAGCACTCTAACTCTCCATCCAGGTTGTTCAGGAAGATATTTAATAATGCCAGCCCCAGAAATGATGCCTGCTGCACTGAGCTTCCTGCCAAGCACCAGATGGACATCAAACCATGTATTAATATTCTTTGGAAAATTCAGATAACTCATTTTCAAGCTATTTATCTGCCCTTTCACTCTGTCTCCTCGTCTGTTAATGGAAGGATTAACTTGCAAAACATCAGTGACAGAGATCACTGCTAGGTAACATCAACTGCCCAAGAACCACATCTTTCCAACTCCACTTCATATTGCTTTTTATTAGAAATTAAAGACTGATGCTTTGTCCTTTAAAGCAAAACAAATCATCACTGCATTTCATTAACACATGATTGCAGCTCTAGAATTCCTGAAGTCACTTAACAAACTCTTTTAGGCAAATAGATAAAGCCCTAGCAGATTACTACAGTAGTGTCCATAAACCAGAATTAAGGCAGTTTTTCAGATGCAGTTTCATGGCAAGTATTAATCTTGCTGAGCTCATAAATGTTGACCATTGCCTATCTGTGGTAGTTAAATTTCCCCCATATTTATGATATTAAAAAAGTGTGTTATTGTTCAATGGAGTGTATTAATAAAGGTTATTTAAATTTACATATAAATGCATAATAAAAATTCATATGAAATTTCTTGAAATGGTTATTATGCAGATGAGTAGTAACCCCATTGCACAGCTTAGCATCTCAGCAATTCAATTTTCATTCAGAGCACCAAAACCAGTTTCCTCACTTCAGGAGAAAAAAAAAAACAAAAAACAAAAAACAACCAACCAAACAAACCAACAAACACACAAGCAGCTAAATGACCTAAAATTAAAAAATCAATATGAAATTCACTTTTATATTTGAGACCAGTTTTTGGAGTAGGGGATCTCATTAGCAACACACGTCCTTTAGTTAAAGAATGCAAAGAATGCAAGAGTAGCTGCAGTTGTTAACTTCACTATTCCCACTAATAATTCTAAACTCATTGCTCCAGTCAAAGGACAAAGCACGACTTACCCTGAAGTATCTGAGATCAGGGCCTGCACTGCATTTAACCATTCCAAAAGTAATTTTACAAAGGGTCTCCTCATTCTTAAGGCACAGATCATTTGTGCCATGCAATCTGTATCACCTGTTCTATTTAGTATTTGGTATTTATCTGGTCAAGGATGTAGGTATAACTTAAATATTATTTATTAAATGTAGTTTTGGCTTGGAACTGGAAGGAGAAAGAAAACACTACACATTTACAGTAATAGTGAATTGCGAAAAAAAAAAAAAAGACAATAGAAATACAGAACAAAATGAAGTCAAGTAAAAACCACTACAAATACTCTAGTTCAGTCTTCTCTGTAACACAGACCATAAAATGAACATATTTTTGAAAGACATTTTCAAAAACTTCAGGAGATAGAAAATTCACCCCATCTGCCAGCAAGCTGTTTCAACATTTAATTGTTGTTAAATACATGTTTTATTATGAAGATAAAAGAGCAACTGCAAAATGCCAGAAGTCTGAATATGCACCAAGTGAGCTTTAAAGCCACTCTACAGGGACAGCAAAGGGGATCATAAACTCTGGAATACTGGACAGAGCCAAGCTGATGACCAATAAAGCTGATGTACATTTCTATACTTCCACTGATTTGTGGGCAGAATGTTTATAGAGAGATATCAAACCAAAGCTGAATATCCTTTCAATTAACTGTACACAAGAAATCAGGAGAGTCAGCTTTATCAGATTGTTGTTGCCTTAACGAGCCCATTTCAAAACTCTCTGCCTATGCTTTGACCTTAAAAATAACACATTTACATCCTGCCTGATAGGAACATCTTGTTATGGAACCACCAGAAACTTCTTTTCTTGACAACTTTCCCTGCTTCAATCCCTTATCAGAAAAGCTTTTAAAAACTATAGAATATGATCTTCATTAAAGGACCTGCCTGCCACCTCCCAATACCTTCATAACAGAAAGGTGAATTTACATTAACATTTTATGAAACCAACGAGGAAAATGCAATATGAGCTTACTACTGTAAATTGTGACTGGTGCTGCAGTTTTTAAATGCAGCTCATATATAGCTGAGACAATTAGCAGGCTCATGCCCAGCAGGAAGTGTGGCAAGTGTTAATGGGCTGCACACAGAGAGCCCTTCCAGGCCACTTCATGCTCAGCACTGAAAAGGCAAAAGTCACCCAGGAATTCTCCTAAAGGCATTGTGGCTTCTTTGTACAGTCATCAATCCAAAATTCCAGGGTTGTGGGCTCATCTCATTCTGAAGAGGTCTTTCCTTTTTATTTTCTTCTCAGTATCCCCTATACAGAGTGCTTTTAAGTCCTTGTACTCTTTTTGTGCCTGGGGAAGCCCCCAAAATAGATGCAGCATCACCTGTTTAAAAGACCAATAGCTGTGCTTATCATGGAGTTCAACACCCACTGCACTTGCAAGGCTTAAAAGTATGTATGACAACAAATTAGTACTTTGTCAAAAGAGATGATGCCAAGTTTCAGGCCCAGACAAATTTCTGCAGAGTTCTAAATCCCTGACAAAACTTGTTTGCAGAAGAGATTATGATGCCCTTGTCAACAGCAACGTTACACTGCCCTGTAATTCAAAAATAATAATGTGATATTTCCATCACCGCTGCCTTAATTCTGTGCAGTAATGATTTCTCCCTTCCCTCACCTTTGGGATATGGGCTTGGCAAGCAGTTCAGTTAAACAGGACAATTAAGTACCTTGTCACTCCATAGAGCCACCAGATAAAAACAAATGACAAAACTCACCCGTTGTTCACATTTCGCTGAAGATGAATGCAACCTGAAAGACTGAGCAGTGTTGTAGCAAAAACAGAGAGAACAGACTGGAGAAAGGTCTGTAAAACACAGCTAAGTTGAATCTAAAGCTGTCTCTTCATTAGTAAGTCCTTTTTGGCACAGATGAATGATAAAGTATTTAACCTCTTCAAATCCCTCATTGATTTTCTAATAACACAAACAGCCATGTGGCCCAGGATAACACTGATATCAACACAACAGGTGACCACATGACAGGAACAGGGGCTGTGGTGCACCATGATTGATAAGACTATGATCATTGATATGATTGGTAAGATTGATCATTGTGCAGGATGATGCCCAGCTGGAACAAGAGTTCACTTGCCTACAATCAAATGCATCAGCCACCTGAGCTGTAATATCCTGGGCCATCCAGATGTGCATAGGTACACGGATATATTTGCCTGCTGCCTTTTCAGAATCTCTGAACTCCTGGGGCTCACAGGAAGATTGCAGGAAGCTCCTTTTTCCCCAGCAGACAAGTACCAGGTAACAAAAAGCCAG